CGTGCAGGGAGAACACGCCAACACACACGCGGCGCGGAGGTGCCGCAATTCCGTTGATTTGGGCGGCGTTGGGGAAGTGAGCAGCGGACTGTGTTTCTGCGTCAGTGCTTGAAGGGACTATTGTAAAGATATTTGTGTTTGTATTTATTTACCTGCGGGCACGAGGCACAGCTGGCGGGAAGTCCTGCTGCGAGAAAAAAGGAGGCGCCGTGCCCCGTGACCTCGCATTGGTAGTACTGTGTTTTTGGTTTCATTTTTTGCTTTCATTTTTTTTTAAACCTCCGGGCGCTACCAAAAGACATCTGCGCGGGGCGGGGGCGGAATAAATTCCTCCTCGTGCGGCTGCAGGGCGCTGCGTGCGCTCATTGGGCTGCCGCTGCCGTCTTGTTTTCTTCCTTCTCTCCCTGCTCTCTCACTCTCTCTCCGCGGTACTCTTTGCTCTCATCCTTTACTATTCATCTCTCTTTCTTTTCTTGCTTCGCCCCAGCCGTTGTGGGCCGAAGGCTCAGCTCGATGGCCCCGGCGGCCCCGCTGCCGCGCCTCCCTCTGCGGGGACGGAGCGCGGGGCGAAGACGAGGACTCAGGCGCCCGCGCAGTTCTCGTGCCCGGACGGTGGCAAGAGGTTACGTCGGCGCCTCGCCGCCGGTGGGGGTCGGAGGAAGTGCGCAGGGGGCCGGGAGAAGAGATGGATGCCGCCGTGGGTGGGCGCAGTTTCGGTGGGGCGGGCTGCACCTGCGCAAAGCGCACGAACCCCAGCCGAACTGCGCTGCCGCCCCGGCAGAGGCCACTCGCGCGTTCACGGTGAAATGCAGCGCGGGCAGCGACGGCGGGGGCGCTGTGCGTGTGGTCGGGGCGGCGAAAAGGAGCCGCGGCGGCGCCTCCGCCTCTTGCCCGATTCTCCAGCGCGCCTGACGGCATGATCGCTTGCAAGTTGCAAAGACCCGGTGGAGCAGCCGCTGGGGAGGAAGAGGGTTCGCCGGGAGCGAAAAGAGCCCGGAGGTTGCCACCGGGCGGGCGGCAGATTTGCCTGCGGGGGGAGGGAGGCCGGGGGTCGGTGCCGCGGGGCAAACTGCGGCGGCAGCAGGCAGTGCGAGAGGAGGAAAGGGAGGAGGGGGCGCCTGGAATGTTGCGGCCAGTTCTGCGGGCGACGAGTGGT